GTTTCTGAGGCTGTTAATCTTTACAGGAGCAGAAAGTCTCATCTTTCTACTGTGAAGTGACTGATAGATTTGAACTGGTGACTCTGAAGTTAGCAGCCCAGCTCATAATCCACTATGCTACCAGGGCTACATCTGATGCTAATGATCATAAAATTATGCATTAACTTTATTTGTATCAAGCAAAACAAAACAAAAAGCCAAGCACACTACCCTTGAGTCAATTCCAACTCACAGCAACCCTATGGGCTATAAATCATTACGGAAGCAAACTGCCTCATCTTTCTCCTCGGAGCAGCTGGTAGGTTCAAACCACCTTTTGGTTCAAATATGAGTGCTTTAGTACTGTGCCACCAGGGCTCCTTAACAAATACTTGTAAAAAATATTTAGCCTTAAAGTACAATGGGCTTCAAAAAGCTGTGGAAAGATTCCATTCTCTTTTCATTCCATTTTTCCAAGAAACTTGGAAGTTTTGTATATGTAGAATGCGTCCAGTGTTACAACCCCTCTCTATTAAGAACCCAAGTGGAATCTCTATGAGGAGGGTACTTCTTTTAGTATTTATTGATAGTGATACATGTTTAATTCAAAAGTAGACAACATTCTCTATTTCCAGAAGAGATTATGAATTTAATCCAAGGAAATATTTTCATTCTCTGTAGAACAATAAAGAGATACATTCTGTGAGAAATTTCATCCAAATTTTATCTTACCCCATCTGTCATCTCCCTATTTTGTTGTCTTTTCACCCACTAGGTTTTGGAAGAAGGGGAAAGGTCAGAGACCTCTTATTTGCATGAGAATAAACTGAGAAGAAGAAGACAGCTGGTAGCCCAGAGAAAAACATAACTGGATCAGGAATCTCACACATAGTAACTATCAGAACAGATAAAAGATCCAAAGAAGCTAATGTTCTCCCATGTAAACTATCACATAATTCACAATAAAACATTTTTTTAAATCCAAAGAAATGCAGTCAAATTGTTATTGTTAAGTGCCATCCAGTTGGCTGTGACTCAGACTTATAGCAACCCTGTATAGGGTTTCCGAGGAGCAGCTGGTGAGTTTGAACCACCGACCTTATGGTTCTAAATGACTTTGCAGTCCAGTGTGTTAACCCACAGAGCCACACCAGGACTGCAGTCAAATTGGAAGAATACATATCATGGAGCTAATCTTCCTGCAGAAGATCTCACACTTAGACATTGTCTCTCAAAAACCCACTCTAAAGCAATCAAGTTAGAAGATTCAAAGAAAATCTAACTGGTCTCTTACAAGTAGAAGGTCAAGTCAAACACCACACCTTTCAACTTAGTTCAATTAAGCAAGTGCTCAATAAAAGCTTATTATTTGAGATGACCTAGATACTGTAAAGAATGCACACTAAAACAACCTTTAGACTAACAATCTAATGAGATAAACAACCGAAATTCGAGGCAGTCATTTAAAAATCCTTTAAAAGGAATGAGTACTATAAAGATGACTAGAAGGAGGCCTTGAACTGACATTTTGAAAAGAGGGACTTCTGATAGCAATAAACCCCAAACCAAACCCATTGCTGCTAATTCCAACTCACAGTAACCCTACAGCAAAGTAGACTTGCCCCTAGGGTGTCCAAGGCTCTCATCTGTATGGAGGCAGACCATCACATAGTTCCACTGTGGAACGGACAGTGGGCTCAAACCACTGACCTTTTGGTCAGCGGCCAAAAACAATAACCACTGTGCATCCATCCCCATCTTTCTGATACATGGAGGGGCATTTCACACACATGGATCTTCTCCTTCTACATATCCTTTTCTCTATCGATCCCCCGTCTACTTAGTCTGTATTTTATGTAATTCTCTTACCTACTCTTGCCCTACAGCCTATTAGCAATGCCACATCCTTCTAGCCTAAGTCCTCGTCATTTTCCGGACCTTTGCCAGTCTCCTAGTCTCCCTGGATCTTCTCTCATCTTTTTAAAAAATTTCCTTCTCCACACTGAAGCCAGCATGGTATTTCTAAAACTCACATTGGCATCATTTCCTTTTCTCAAAGGCTTCCACTGCCTCCTGGATAAAATCTAAACTCCTATGGATACAAGTTATTCACATTTTGACCTCTGCTTGCCTGCCAATTCTTATTCCTGTCATTTTCATATCATTCTTTCCCAATCTTGAAACTACTCACCCCTTAGCAGTTTCAGAATACAACATACCTTGACATTCTGCAAATGTAGTCTTCTGCCCCCTAAATGCAATTCTCGTTCTTTGAAGTCCCAGCCCAACTATGACTTGCTTTTTGAAACCTTTCCTGATTCCCTTAGCCCTGATAAGATTATCTTTATTGATATAAAATTGTGTTTTTCTAAGATTCTTGACTAGGAGAACATATCGTTTCCTGTTTGTTTAGCAATATTTAACAGATTTGTTGTTGTTAAGTGTCGTTGAGTCGATTCCGACTTACAGCGACACTGTATAGGGTTCCCAAGGAGCAGATGGTGAGCTTGAACCACCGACCCTGCAGTTCAAACAACTTTGCAGTCTTGTTGTTAAGTGCCATAGAGTCGGTTCTGACCCATAGTGACCCTGTATGGGGTTTCTGAGGAGCAGCTGGTGAGCTTGAACTGCCGACCTTGCAGTTCAAAGGACTTTGCAGTTTGGTGCATTAACTCACAGCGCCACACCAGGACAATAAATATGTTAATAAAAACAAGCAGCTAGCATTCCTTAAACACCTGAATTTCACACCATACTTCAAGTGACTCACAAGGACAATCCCATTTATTCCTCATCCCTGTATTCCTCATTGTAAATAACCCCATGAGAAGGTACTTTTAGCATCATCTCACTTTATTGATGAGGAAACAAAAGCAAGGTAAGCAAGTCGCCCAGGTTCAAGATTCAAAAAACCTGGACAGTTAGATACAATCAATGCTTTTAACCAGTGTAAGTATAATACACAACTACACACACATACTAACTTAAAGGAGATAAGAAAAATATCTCCAATGAGGCTATGCAAAAGGATTGGATAAATGAAGAGTATAACATAAAATGAATTTAGAAAGGTAGGCTGGCAATAAGCCTACACTTAATGATCTGTCACTTCCCACTATCCAGACTGAGCTTAGTTTAAAAAACCACAAAACTCCGTTTTTTACTATATAAACCCTGAACCTTGAGCAGTATTTTTCAAATTATGTTCACAGAACTCCAATTTCCAGGGCATTAAAAGTATCCCCCCACCCCCCGCAAAAAATCTTGTGGTACAATGACTTAAAAATCTACTAAGTTAAGTAAAAGTACAGGTTTCTTTACTAAAGAATTTGGCAGGGCTAATGTAGTTTTCCCAATCTTACTTGAGCACAGAATTCTTCTCTCATAAGTCACCTCAGAGGCCTAGTGCTCAATGGGACAGTTTAATACACACAGGACATACAAAGCCATTTGTGAACGAGCTCTACTTACTCATCTCCAAGTCAAATGTTGGAAGAATACAGGATACATGCTAAGAGTATAGACTACAAAGTAGGACACATTGCAAAGATGGAATGTTCACCCAAACGTCAACACACAGGAGTATGTTGGTATAGCCGTGTTACATCAGCACTTACCAAACCTGACTTTAACAAGTTACTTGTATATGTACGTTCTTCCAGTTAGTTAACTTCCAGTTAAGTCACTCCAGAAAAGTTATTTATGTTTGTACAAACCCCCCCCACACACACACACACAAAAAAAAGTGGGTGTAAATAATTCTTGATTGCATTATTAAAGAACATTCTGAACCAGGGCAAAAAATATTTAAAACGCATGACAAAAAACCCACAACATTGCTATTGTTGTCAATTGCCATCAAGTCACTTCCAACTCACAGAGACCCTGCACAGGATTTCAGAGGAACAGCTGGTGGGTTTGAACTACCTGTGGTTCCAGTCCAGTGCTGATCCACAGTGTCACACCAGAAACAAACACCAAAGTGTCAAGTTGATTCGATTCTAACACATGGTGTGCCTATGGGGCAGAGTAGAACCCTCCCCCCATACAATTTCCAAGGCTATAAATACTTAAGGAAATAGACTGCCTCATTTCCCTCCAAATTATAGCATATACCATAGTGTATTTTGATAACACATGATTACCAATACATTACAAAACCAATATATCGATAACATAAAATACCTGTGGATATGTTCAACTACAAAGAGTAATTTTACAAGGTCAAATTCCACTGACACGTTCTTTTATCACTGTATGTAGTAGAATATGTTTCACAACTTCATAACTTTACTTTGGAATACCTTAACTTTGCAATAGAAAAGCTCACATTAGAATATTTCATATGATATCGCTAAAATTATTTTACTAGGTGTGGCACTGTATGATAAGCACTGGACCGCAAGGTCGGTTTGAACCACAAGGCAGATGATTCAAATTCATCTGCGGCTCCATGAAAACCCTATACAGGTCACTATGTGTCGGAACCAACTCGATAGCATAAATGTCTAATCCTTTTAACATTTTCTATAAACTGTGATGGATATTGGGAAATTAACTATATAACTCACATATTACCACATTCATCAAAAGGAAATAACAGGCAAATTATTAAATTACAGTCTAATTTAATCTAATTCAATTTTCTATAATGATACCAAAATAGCACTTATCTCTGAAATTAAGTTAGCAAATAAATCAAAGCTCTATAATTCCTGATACTTTGGTGTCTTTCATATTAAGTAAATGAATTACTAATATGTCACCTAGCATTCAGATATGAGAAAAAGAGAAAGAAATTTTTATTCAGGCTACCATAAATATTTAAATTAATTCCTGAAGTCTAACAAATTTTAAATAACAGGTTTAAAGATGTACTGAAAAACCAAACTGTCCTTCATAATTTAGCATTCATTTAAAAAGTTATTTCAAAGTTTACTACTTAATTATTTTAGCTACCACCTTCAAAATTCAATGAAAAGTGAGTTACTAGAGGCAGAAATCAAGCTTTCTTTTCTTACCTATTCGGTCAAATGTTTTATCACACTTAGGACATTGCAATATTTTTTTGTTACTGTTCTGAATGACTACTGGAGTTAACCCCTCATGAATGCTTCCCACAGAATCACCAGCCTCAGGTTCCTCTTCGGCATCATTCTGATCTTTTTCGCTTTGCTCTTCAATGTCAGAATATTCATCTGACATTTCCTCCTCTAAGCCATCTTCCTCAGCATTATATTCACTTCCGGGATCTTCAGAATCGTTTCTATCAGACTTTTCTTTATCAAAATTCTGATTCAAATTGTCTGATCCCTCACCACTTTCTTGTTCATCATCAGTGATGTCATCAAACTTAACAGGGCACTTCCGATTCCTTTTTGATCTTCTTGCAGAAAAGCTTCTCTCCAGCATTTTTAACCCATGGTTTTTCCCCAACAAAAGGGATCTATGGGTCTTAGCCAAATGGTTCTCTAAGGATTTTTTATAACAAAAGTATCTACCACAGAATTTGCACTGATGATTATTTGATAGTCTTCCAGTTAATTCATTTAGTGTTTCTTCTGGTGATGACTTTTCCGTTAACTCCGATGGAAAACCTGCCACGTTTTCATTATTTAGTAGCTTAACTGCATCTATAATGTCCAGAAACTTTGCAGCCTCTAAAACAAGAGGTATTTCATATTTGTATACAAAAAACTCTGATGTGTACAGAAAGTCTAGCAAATGCTGAAAAACTGAATGTGTTACGTGATCCAGAGTTACAACATCGGTGCTTGGATTTTTGCTCAAGCATGCGTGAAAATAACTACTGCCAACAGCAACCACCACTTTATGTGCGCTGAACTCTTTTCCTTCTACGATGATAAGTAAATCACAGAAAGAGGGGTGTTTCTGCCTGTCATCATTTAAATACTTCAGTAAATTCCTATTATACTGCAAAGAACTCAAAAGCTTTCTCTGATCTGGAGATGGAGGAAGGTCTTGGTAACAGTGAAGAGGCTCAGGAGTTGGGCGCTCTGAAGGAGTATAGGTTACTGGGTCACACTCCACTGCACCATTTCCTTCTAAAGAATCTTTATGATAGCCTAGATGGATTTTCTCATCAAAATTTGAAGTAACCTTTCTCCTTTTCTTCATTGCAGTACAGCAATTTTAGAAAAAGAAACTTCATATGTGTCTTCGGTGATTTATTAAGGAAAACTAGATTGTCTTGAATAACAGCTTCCGGAGGGGCGTGCCCAAGGGTTTCATGGTCTGCAAGAGAGTAAGAAATATGCAAAATAACTTCTTAGCAAAGTAATCCTATCACATAAATTCGAATTTGTCTAAGAATCCTTTCTAGATTATAACTTACGATACAGTCACAGTTTATATGCGTGGCATGTGAAATTCAAATGCGTGGCTAAAATCTTTGAGCTGTTAACACGGAAGGCCGGGTTAGCAAAGACAGCCAACAAAAGAATAATTTTTAAAGAAGCCAAGGCACACCTTTCAGGCCTGATTTACGAACAGGGTGGAGATAACAGGGTAGAAAAGAGAGGGACCCTCAAAGAGTGTTGATTGATTGTGCAGGTTGAGGGGGGCTGCAGTCGTGGTTTAGGCGCGCTGGGATGATGATAAGGCCATCGCGGCCACGAAATCTGACTATTATCAGCCTTCCCCAGGGTGAGCAAAGCACAGCTCATGAGGGACAGAGAGCGTCCCTTGGCCAAAACCACCGGGCAGGAGAGAGCCCCAGGAGGGGCTCAGAGCAGGAGAGGGGTCAACCGGAGGGACGACTAAAGGAAGCAGAAGAGGCTCGCCAGGCCCCGGTCAAACAGAGAATGCGCTCGCCAAAGGCAAACCTGCTACCCTTCCCGCCCCAGTTTCCCAGGGCACACGCCCCACGGATCCATTACCGGGAACCCAGGGCTCCCCCGCTGGCTCCCAGCCGCTGAGCTCCACTCCGGGCGCGCTCACTCCAGCGCCTACCCACTTCCGGGTTCAGCCCCCCACCTCACTCCCTCCCCTTCAATCTTTCCCCCTCCCAGAGCCTGTCCGCCTTCACAGCCAGAAAACACGTCAACCTCACGCAGCCTCTAAAGTGCCTAGAGAGACAGGCGTATAACCCGACGTCAACCATTGCGCATGTGCAAGCATCCTCCTGTACGCATGCTCTGTGGGTTCTTCTTGCTCCCCTTGGAGAGTCTAGCTATACCCCAAATCCGTTACTCCAGGATTTCGCGGTCACCTAGTGGTTTGCTGTGATTGAGCTAGGAGACGCGTTTGTTGATAAAGGGGAAATTTAAGGAGTGTACTGGTGGGAAGTCTTAGAAGAACTTGGAGAGCCTCCATAGAGAGAATAACATGAATGAATTTTATTTTTTCTGATGTGTTCAGTAGTTGGTAATTAACCATAATGGAGTCCGCTGTGGGTTAATGCACTGGACTGCGAAGTAGGTTTGAACCGCAAGGTCGAGGGTTCAAGCTCTGCAGCCACTCCTTGGAAACCCAATACAGGGTCGTTGTGGGTTGGAACTGACAACACTTAACTACAACAGCAATTAACCACACAACCCTCTCCCTCCAGAGCGGAATCCAGCAAACACACTGGCATGCATCAAAGAACTGATCTTGCCGACGTCACTTAGTTGTTTTTCTCATTAAAACAGCTAACATTGTTAGTTTTAAAACTCTGTTGTACACAGAAAAAAAAAATCGACTTAAGTGCAAGTGCAATTGGCAGCACAGGAAGAAACGTCAAAACAAACAAAAAATCTATTCACAGGGACAACTTTTGAAGCCAGTGTCAGCTTTTGCATTTCTAGCTGTCCCAGGTGACACTGATCCTGATGATCCGAGGACCACATTTGATTAGCAAGATCCTAGAAGATGTGGTTTGCAAATATAAGGGAAATAAAACAAAGGCTGAGACCAAATAGGATTGGAGATCAGATTAGAGATAACCCCTCTCCCCACAAAACTGGAAATCTAGAAAAACCAGGTTTAAAAAAAAAAACACAAAATAAACTCCCACAGAGGGAGAGACTTTGGGGAAATGTACTTCTTTCAGATTGCTTGGATGACAAGAAAAAGCCTTCCATAATTCCTAACAAAAATTCACACTCATATTGATTCTTACAAGGATTCCTATAACTTCTGTAACTGCCGCAACAAAAAATATCCTCATTAAAAAAACAACTATAAAGACAAATATTTTGGGTTTGGGAATCCCCAAAGACTGCAGATAATGGAATTATCAAAACTTAAAGAATGTTTAATATATTTAGAGAAACTAAAGAAGGAATTGAAAGGAAAATGAAACCCCAAGAAATTATAAAAAATTAGCAGATTGAAAAATAGAAGAGAAAATTATCAATATATTATGTTCATACTTGTTATATAAGGAGCTCTGGTAGCATACGGGTTACCAGTCAGCCTGCTAATCTCACGGTCAGCAGTTCGAAACTACCAGCTGTTCTCAAGGAAAAAGAGGCTTTCTGCTCCCGTAAAGATTTACAGTCTGTTTGTTCTTTTGGTAGTCTATGGTACTTTTAGTATTCTCCTCCAACACCACAACTCAAGTGAATCAATTCTTCTATGGTTTTCCTTATACACTGTCCAACTTTTGCATGCATATGAGGTTATTTACAATGCTGTAGCTTGGATCAGGTGCACCTCAGTCCTCAAACCAACATCTTTACTCTTCAACACTTTAAAGAGGTCTTGTGCAGCTGATATGCCTAATGCAATACGTCCTTTGATTTCTTGACTACTGCTTCCATGGGTGTTGATGGTTAATCCAAGCAAAATGAAATCTTTGATAACTTCAATTTTTTTCTCCAATTATATGCATGTTGTTTATTGGTTCAGTGGTGAAAATTTTTATTTTCTTTACATTGGAATGCAACCCCTAAGGAAGGGTGTGGTCTTCGATCTTCATCAGTAAGAATTTTAATTCCTCTAGGCTTTCTTCAAGCAAGGTTGTATCATCTGCATGTCACAGGTTGTTAATAAGTCTTCCTCTAATTCTGATGCCACATTTTTCTTCATATAGTCCAGCTTCTCGGAATTTTTGCTCAGCATGCAGATTGAATAAATACAGTGAAACAATGTAATCCTGGTGCATATCTTTCCTAATTTTAAACCATTTGGTGTTCCCTTGTTCTGTTCAAACAACTGCCTCTTGGTCTAGGGAGAGGTTCCTCATGAGTACATATAAGTGTTTCAGAATACTCATTCTCATCAATGTTGTCTATAGTGTTGTCATGATCCACACAATCAAAAGACTTTGCGTAGTCAGTAAAGCACAGGTAAACATCTTTCTGGTATTCCTGCTTTCAGACAAGATTCATCTGACATCAACAATGGTATCCCTCGTTCCACATCCTCTTTTGAATGAGTGAAATTAGTTGGTCTCAAAGAGATATTGTATGAGATCACTACTGTAAAAAGTCAAAAGGTTTACATTCTATGATAAACATTCTATGGTGGTTACCAGAGGTGGTAGTGAAGGGATTTATTCACTGGCTAAATTTTAGACACATATTAACTTGGGTAACTGGAAAAGCAGTTAAAAGGAAAATGAAAATTTTTTTTTAAGAAAAGGAAAATTGCTTCCTTTCTTTCATGGAAAATAAGGAAAACAATGAATATTTATTTTCTCATTAGGAAAAATCACTGGAAAAGTACTCACAAGTGAAAAAGGGAAAGGAAACAAGGGGGGGGGGACAGAAAGGAGAGAGTGAGGAAAAAATATTTGGAAATGGATAGTGGTGATAGTTACATAACATACGGTGTGTGGTTGCTTTGATTGGATTGTACATAGAAAATGGTTGAAATGGCAAGTATTTTGTTGTATATATATTGCTATAATTTAAAAATATGATGCAGAGAACCTGAGCAGGGCAAGATACGCTTCAATGACCATGGTCCCCTGAATCTTGGACTTCCTGCCTGGGTAGACAGTGGATTGAGCTGAGAAATGGTGTCCATTGAAAGCAAAGTTAATCATGGGATATTGCCAGCTGCTCAATGGTGGGAGGAAGGCATTGGGAAGACAAACATTTTTAAAGAAAGGAAGAAAGATATGGTTCATTAGGAAAAGTTGGTGACAAGTCTTCCATACAACTCCCAGAATGTTAGAAAGATCCAGACATCCTTTGGAAAAAAAGCAGCCAGTGTAGGGAAGACTCAGAAGACTGGGTCCTGCACTGGGGGAGCCTCATTAAGTTAGACAAAACAATTTCTGAGCTGAAGGTGCCACCAATCTTTTGGGGGAAGAACCACTTCTGCCCTCTCCAGTATCAAGGGGAGTAGATCATATGTATAGAACTTTGCTGAGGATGGAGCTGTGGCCAACATGTTTGGGTGATGGTGGTTCAAAGGCTTCTTTGAAGAGGAACTAAGGAATAATGAAGGAAGAATGGATGGGCATCACCAACTGTAGTAGGCATAATAATGGCCAAAATTATAAAGATGTCCTAATCCCCAGAGCCTGTCAATATGTTCTGTAACATGCAAAAGGGACTATGCAGTTGTGATTAAATGTATGTAACTTTGAGATGGAGAGACTATCATGGATTATCTGATGGAGACACAAGAAACCTTTAAAAAGGTCAGAGAAAGGGCTCTGATAACACAAGAAAAAAGAGATATTTAAAGATATTAAACTGCTGGTTTTGAACATAGAAAGAGAGGCCACAAGCTAAGGAATGTAGGTGACCTATTGACATCTAAAAACTAGGAAAAGCAATGAACAATTGTTCCCTGTAGCTTCCAGAAGGAAGACAGGCCCATAGACATCTTGGTTATTACTCATTTTGGATTTTTGATTTCCAGAATTGTAAGATAATGAATTTGTAACTTATGTTTTAAAAGACCAGGCTTACTGGTTGGATAGTGGAACCTCCAAGACTATGGCCCTTGGTCATTCTTCTGGTTTGGAATTGAACTTACCCCTAGACTCAGTTTTCAGTAGAGCAATGGACAGATCTATGAGGAGAACAGTAGAGACACATACCTTAGACTAATCAACCATTTGAGATAAAAGGGCAGCATTTGCCCAAAGACAAAGTTCAGAAGGGTTAGGAAAGAAGGAATGGAAAGAGGAAACATTAGGAAGTGGGATAAGTGATGCTACATTGAGAGGATTACAATCAATGAGATGAAAAAAAATGTGTATGAGTTGTCAAATGTAAAATTGATGATCTGCTCTGTAAATCTTC